TCATAGTCCGAAAAATACGGTACTTGTTCTGATACAGCTCAAGATCATTCTAAAGCTATTCAGGATAGGTTCATTTCTGTCCTGTGAATGTGACTAGTACTTATACCATTTTCAATACTTTTGAAAATACTTACCAAAAAATACTGACCATTTGTTTTAAAGAGAAATCACTATAGGACAGAAAATATATGTATTTAATTTATCATTTCAGGCTAGGGCTTTAGAATCATCATGCATCGATGCACTACGATACATTTAGATTCTAAAGCCAAATGCCATTTTGCTTTGCTTGACCCTTACCTTTCGCCACCACTGTTATCACGTAAAAAAAGTGCCAAGGAAATAACAGCTCGAAAAAACAGTCCTGCCCTTTGTCTCCCCCTCCCTCTCTCTGATCCAGCTGCAGCTCCTCACCTTTTCTCCTTTCTCTCCTCTGGTGCTTCTTATCTTTATAATACAAGGTGCGGAAAGTAAACGACTATTTTCTCACCGTTTAGGCAAACTCATTCCGAACTTTTAATGTGTGTTTCTCCGGATTTATTGCTCCTATCAACACAAAATAAAAACTGTAGTGATCCTGACACCCTGCCCTCTATATCTGAAGTCCACCTGTTTATGTTTTCAATAAGACAAGATTGAAACAGGACGAAAATACGGAAAAAAAAGAATAATGTTGTTCCTCATATAGCCCAACCCTACTTGTCAGTTTTTATCACCAAAGTTGAATTGATTACATTATTTTTTTGCATCATGGGTAGATTTCTGAATTGTTACACCCCTATTCCACGCCCAGTTTTCTCTACTTTTCTCTAACTAATATTTATTTTTCTATATTTTTTTATTTTTTATAGATCATTAGCGCTTCAATCAGGAGAGAAGAAACAGTTTGAAAAAAACAGTAGGTGCACTTTAAAACCATAAACTTGGACCCAGCTGAGACTCTTGACTGGAAGAGTGACCGTGATGTGCTTATGCAAAAGAAATGACAATTCTCACCTAGAGCTCACACTCCGGCAGTCAGTGAAGAGGAGGAGAGGAAGAGGCTGAGGTAGTGGATGGTTGTGGTTGGTTTAGGGCTGGACAATGTGGTCCTGTAACAGTTTTTGAGTTTCTGGCATTATTGTAGCGTGATTCAGTGCTTTTCTGTGTAATGTGGCTCGATGCTCAGAGTCAGACACTCGCTCTCCTCTTATTGGTCAGCCTATGCCATGCCTATGAGTGAGTGACAGGTGGATTAACCAATCACTAGTGATGGTGAGATGAAGCCCCATGAAGCACTGAAGCGTTCCAGCCATTTGCTCGACTCTTGAGCCGATTCTTCAAGGTGCTTCATTTGCTCCACTGTGCCATCAAGAGGCCAAAAAATTTATAACAGGCAGAGTGATAATAGAACAATCAATATGATCATCGAGGTTCTGATGGAAAGATTTATACTGAATAAATGAATGATTAAATATTTGAATGTTTGTGATTTCAACATAAAGTGTGAATGTATTAACCTGGAGTCTGTGTTCATGATATAAAGGTCGGGTTAAAAGAAAAAGTAGGAACAAATTGGAGATCAGGATGTAATGTGACTGTGCTTGTGTTTCTACTTTATGTCTGTGCTTATGCCACAATAAGGATGGCAAAATATGGTCATTTTATTCATTTTTATATAAAAATATCAATTTCTCCACAGTATTTGGACTCAGACGGTTTCTTTTTTTTTTACAGAGAATTTCCCCTGCTTTTGAAAAAAAAAAAACTTTCACAGCGCACAGATGAAACAGGTGTGCTCCATCGCAAAAAAAAAAAAAAAAGAATCTCAAATAGAATGTACCAAACTCGCAATAACCCTAAACCACAAAATGTTTTGGGTGAATCCGTTGCGTTTCACTTATGTTTCGAATTGCGCGAAATCCGTGAACCACTTCCTGAATCAGTCATGTGGTTCGGGCGGTTCAGGAGGCTTCGAACGTCACCACTTATATCACCGATATGAGCCTTGATACGCGCTTCACCAAAGACTTCCTGGATTACTCAACACACGCTTCGAAGCCTCAGCACATCTCGTAACATCACTACCAATCACAATGAAATGAACTCTCAAAAGAAGCATATAACAAAGTACCTCGAAGTAACGTTGCACGATTTGGGGAAAAAATATGTCATTGTGATTTTTATGACAAGCAATGATTTTAAATATACCCAGAAGAATTGTAAAAAAAAACCACTAACTTATACAAGAATGAAGAATTTCTCAACAGTTTGTTATAAATCTAAATCTAGGGTTGCATAATAAAGCAGAATATTTCATTGGTGTGAAGAAAATTATGGTTCTTTGTTTAATTAAGGTAAATTGCAGTCTTTGCTATTTGCTAATTGCATCAGTTCAATTCGCTTTGATTAATCTTGCAGCCTTAGCATAAGTGTACATTGTAATAAAATATATAATCATAGAGATTGACCGATTCTTTTTTTCATGATGTAGTTTTTCTGATATAGTTTAGTATCCAAAGAGACCAATAGCAATGATAAATTCTGCTGATATTTTTAGGCAGATTTTAATTGTTTTTTCCAAATTACATAATTTGACTGACTAAAAACTCATTCACAGCCCTGTAGTCACACTTTGTTCACTTTGTTACCCTCTTTACTCTGATGTCTTCAAATAAAGCTGTAAGTGTATTCTTTAGGCAGGTCTGTGCTGGAGATTTAAAGGGCCCATATTATGCTCTTTTCTGATTTCTGTTATAATGTTGTTTCCTCATCACAAACAGACCTAGAGTTGTGTTTGGTTCATTCACACATGTTTAACACACAAATGCTGTATATTTTTATAGTTCTTCTCTCAAACAGAAAACACCTGGTTCTACCTTGTGATATTTGATAATAAGTGCTTCACTGTGTTTTTAAACTCCATACACCTTCTCTAGAATCATTTGGATAATTTCAGCCCCCATGTCTACTGAACAAAGGGTAACTATCACTTCATGCAAAAAAACCTGAAACATCTATGTATATATCGTATCATTTAATGCAGTGTTTCCCAAACTTTTTTTCTGGGGACCCATATTTTAGAATGTCACAAACCTTCTCGAACCAACTCCAGACATTATTCTTAAACCACAAAATACATTTCTGACCATTATTGAACATTAATGAGGATATTTTATTGTTGACTGAATGACTGAGTGACTCATGTCTCTCTGAGTAATTAGTTTTACTCCAGTTTTAAACAGTGAAAAACAGTAATCAGTGTTTCCCACAGAAAAATAGTAAGGCAAGGCGGTGCTGGCTGCTGAAAAAGTGGGGAGCAGAGAGGGGTGCGCGGAGATTTATGTAGATGTATGTTGCAGACCTACATGCAGATTGTGACAATGTGATCCCAAAAAAACCCTTTTGTGACCCGCCTGCGACCAATGATTGATTTAATGTGATGATTAGGGATGGGCATGATTAGTCGATTAATCGATAATTGATCATTAAGAATTGCATCGATCACGTTCATTTTAATCGACAAACTGAATGTAGGTTGCTGTGCGTAGCGTGACCAAACAGGGGTCCGTACATGTAGCTCTCTGCACTCAGAAGGAGCGAGCAAACACAAACAGTTGTTCAGTCTGCAACGTGCCAAAGCACAAATGCACATGTAACTCTGACTTGTACAAGAAATTATATGTTTTCAGTTCCAGTCAGGACAAGTGGGAGGCCATGTGCACAGTGTACAAAGCCGCACACATGTTTTGGTGTCCAGTGGGAAAAAGCTCACCAGAACACCGAAAACATGAAAAAGCTTTGCCAGGTGAGAGTAGCGCAACATTGATGGCCCCACCTCCCACCCCCCGTACGGTGTCCTGGTTTTGACAAACGCAAATATGGTCACACTCACCTGTATTCCTTGAGTTGTGTCTTTCAATCCAACACAAGTTGACCGCATCAGCACACAAGAGCAGTTTTTTTGTTTGCTTAGTTTATGCAAATTAGCGATGCGGTTTTAAGTTTCGTTTCTGTGAGACTTGCGCAAAACTGAATTAAACACATTATAATGTCAAACGGGCTGATGTGGCTCTAGAGTGGTTACAGTTTGTATGTCGTAAAGTAGAATTTATTTATGCAGATTAGTAGTGCAGATAGTAATAATAATGATGATCATTTTAATATAAAAAAAACGTTAATGATTAATTGATAATCGATCGTTAATTCTCCCAACGATTGATTAAGAAAATTTTATCGAATGCCCATCCTTGATACATTATCAATATCGTGCTGCTGTATTGATATATCGCCAAGAGTATTTTTTGGTATATTTTACTAAATTATTTTGTTACAGCACTGCAGTTTTGTTGCTTGTTCAGAGGAAGCAAAGTCATTTATGCGACACATTTGACATTTGCACTATTTTAATGATGTGTGTGTTTCATAGGAACTTTGCACAAGAAGAGATTTAATAAAGACTTTTATTGTCACAGCCATGATTTAGCCTTTATTTTTTTATTGAACTGTATGAAATCGATTTGAAATATATCACATCGAACCAAAAGTACACTCTATCAAAATATGTATCGTATCGTGGCTTATGTATCATATCGGCAACTTCTTAATGATACCCAGCTCTATTCATGACATCACAAGGTGGAACTGAGCCTTTTGAGATTTGGAGATGTAGACAGACTTATAATAAAGGGTTACTCAAACGTGTAGATGAAACAAAACACAACTCCAGGTATGTTTTTGATGAGGTATCACCACTATAACATGGCGTAAAGCTGACAAGAGGGAATTTGGCGTAATATACTTTTTATTATAATTATTATTTTTTTGGCATGGTGCCCATCACAAGATTGTATTTATATGATTTGCTGCTTGTAAGATGGATTGGTTGAGAGACTGTTGTAGAAGGCTCTGAGGTGACTGGAGGAATAGGGAACACAGTCTCCTCGGTTGAATTTTATACTTTGAAAGCATTATATTCTCCCTTTTCCATCTAATATATTCGTGTCTTGTGCTCCCTCCAGGCTGCAGCATCCTGAGCTCAGTGGACCCCCTGCTGTGCATCGCCCTCCTGCTCCTGCATAACCTGCTCCCGTTCCTGTTGGCCCACTGAAGACATTTCAACCAAAATCCAACCCACAACCTACCTGCCCGACTACCACTCTCTCACTCTCTCAAAAAACCAAAATACCAAACGAGCAGCCGGTGGGGTCAGGGGGAAATCGGGTTTCACATCTTATATACTCGCCACACATCACCGCAGGGAGTGACGGCGATGCAACCGGCAACCGAGGACTTCAAGAGGAGGTAAAAATTACAGAAAGGACTTTGCTAAAGATCGAACACTGACTTTTTGGACTCTATAGGAGCTCGTGCGGACGTTTTGGGGGAAAGAATACAAAAAAAAAGCAGGATTACGGGATGCACATTGGCCAGGCGGAGCGCTGCCTCTACTCTGCATAGCACCCGCTTCACGCATGGCCCTCGTCATATTACTACGTCACCGCCATGTTTGTTTCTTTTATGGAAGCATCTCCACTGTGAATCCTGCTTTTAACCAACACCAGTCACTTTAATAATGTGAGCCCTTCAGTTGGTTCCAGACATCTGTTTATTGAGAAAAAAAAAAGTGTGATCTCAGTGTTACGTTTTTGCTTTTAACGGAGAGGAGATTTTGGAACATTCGCATTATACGGGAGGTGAAATGATTCAGGCTGTGTTGGTCTAATGTACTTTTTGTCCAGATGAAAACGGACAGTGGAAGAATAGTGGGGCCGTGAGTGGGAAGTGTGAAAAGGCTTGAGCAAAAATAAAGATCTGTGTTGAAAGAGAGAAGTTTAATTGGACACATTTCAACAGGAAAGGAGACTTGCTCAGTAATACGCAGATGGGTAGGGGGAAAAACATTTATCCAAGATGGCATTTTTCCAGGGTTGAAAAAAATACTGATTTGTGTACAAACTGTTACGGCAACTGATACTGAACTTTGAGCCCTGTGGTCATTATGGTATTAAAATTTAAAGAACAAAATAACATACAATGGAGTAATTATTAATATCAAATAAAGTTACAGAGAAGGTCACATCTGTGGTCATCTGGACACTGATTTTGCATTTAAGATGTTTCATTTCTCCCATCCAGAAGCCATTTTCAATCCTACTCTGAGTTAACCAAGTCCAGAGTGAAACCGGTGACATTTTTATACAGCGCTTTTCCACCTTCAAAGTGCTTTACATCAAGGAACCACTCACCCATTCACACACACACACACTCCATCACCAGTGTACGCAGACTCTGGGCCAATGTGGGTTAAGTGTCTTGCCCAAGGACATAACAACAGAACTCATTTATGGCAGCTGGAATCGCGCCAACAACCTGTGGGTCAGTGGATCTGTTCGCTCAGCCGATGATGTTTATGTTGATTCTAATATGAACAGTATGTAACAACTGTCTCGTCTTCATCAGATTGGTCTTTGATTGACTTGTGTGGTTTTGTTCCACGTTTGAGAATGTGGAAATGTTTTGATTGTGAAAACAGTGTCCAGATGATCACCGCTGAAACCTTCTCTACATTAAATAAAGTTATTTAGTGAGTGACAATGGAATAGTGGCTTGGGTTTTCCCACCAACAGAAGAGCCAGAGGGTCAAACCTCGCCATAGGCCTGCTAGACACTTTACCCACATTGTTGGAAGCATCTGGAAGGGCCATCTGGCTCACAATAAAATATATGTACACATCATAGACTGTATATAGAAATGGAAATAGCTAACGTGCTAGTCAGAGCGTTCCAAATCGGACGTTTGCGTGTGGCTCTTCCTACTTACTCTGCCTCCCATTGACTTCCATTGGAATATGGTGGCCCCTCTCTCTGTAACCGCTGCGATGAGCCTCGTCATTTTAGTCTTAAAATGTTTGTCTACTGGTTCCTGTTTTATTTTTTTTTTCCTATTCATAATATAGAGTTTGGCTCCGAATTCGCTCCTGATACTCTTAGCATCCCGAGCTTCATTTGAGTGGAGCTGAACTCTACAGGTGACATCACACTCACTTAGTCCACTTTTTTATACAGTCTATGGTGCACAAATATATTATATATGATTTATTTAAACAGTAATTAATAAATAACATATGATCAATGAAAATGTATTTGAACTGCAGAACTGAATTCAAGTCTAAATTTCCATTGTGATTCTAGTGTTGCGTCCACACAGGGGAACACTGTATGTTTAAAAGAGAAAGCCAATGCCTTGGTGGTGGTCCACACTTTCTGAGCAAGTCTTAATCTGCACTGCTCCAGTGGAAAAGCACCTCTCTGGTAAATACTCATGTTTTAATCTACTGTAAACTTCAACTGCCTATTTTTATACGGGTTTGATTTAATCTTACTACTAAATTAAGATTTTTTTGTCTTTGCTGAGTGCAACATTTTGTAACTCTTTCTTTTAAAATATATAGCCTCAAAGTCTTTTGCATGATTCCTTGATATATATACCAAAAAAAAGAAAACAGTCCAGTTGCCACTTAAAAACTTCAGTATGTAACTTAAAGTGTGCAATCTTGAAACAAAAGTTTATGTCCTTCTCATTTACTTTTTTTCATATGAATAGAGTTACACAATGTTGCTCTGAGAATAGACCTACTGTTTTAATGAAGATACTCCTGATTTCAAACTTTATAACTGACCACAAGTCATGATCTTTTGTCGTAAATGAACTGGTGAGGAGTCCACTATTGTTCCACTGTCCCTGTCCACTCCACGGAGCCGCGTTTGTCTCATGGCTGTGTTCCATCATGTAAACACTGAATAAGCTGATCTATTTTGATTAAGATAAGGCACATTTCACCATTGTTGTTGTTTATCACCTCCAATGATGTTTATTTTTATTAAATCAATGGTGATCAAAGTGAAGACATTTCATTTCTATCAGACAAATAGATTTATTGGTATCTCGCCAGCTGCGGTTCAGATGAAGGTTTATTGTTTTTGTAATAAAAGTTAGATTTGAAAAGGTGGCACGTGTGTATCTGTGTCTTTCTTATAACTGCTCAAGTTTGGGCTTTTTAAAGAGGGGGTGTTATTCTAGAGCTTTGTTAGACCTTTACCATGTTATAACATTGGTCTCTCATCAAAAACACGGTCCCATATGACACAAAATTGATTCTTGTGATGAGGAAATATTAAAACAGATCAGAAAAAAGCGTGATATGAGCTTTTTAATCATTTGTGTACGTTTGAGTGATCTTATTTTCTCTCCTTGATTCTATTCAAATCCTCCTTTCAGTTAAGTGTACGAGACTCCACCTACAAGCCTACGCGACCAGGAAGCTCTCTGAAAGCTCCGCCCATGCTCCCACCATACTAAGCGGCATCGAAAACAAAACTGAAACAAACACAATTTTTAACACATTCTTTCCGGCAATTACAACATTTTCAAAACAAAGAAAAAGATAATATGGTGACCTAAATATGTTGCGGTCCATGTACCATTTGTTCTTTTGAATTTCAGTTAAGAACGAAAAACAATAAAATGGGAAAACAGTTTGATATTTCATTATTTTGTTTTAGCACAAAAAATAATCATTCATTTAAAGTTTATTTCAAATAACACCAATCAAAAAATAATCTAGGTGACTATTTTAAATTTGATATTTTATTCTCTGGTTTCTGGTGGTTCTCTTTCCTTCCTGTTTGTTGTCATACAATTCCACAATGACTTTCTAAGACGCGAAAGTAAACGTGTCATTATAAAAGAAGATGACATGTTTGTCCACAAAATTGCAACGATTTTCAAGTAAGTCCTTCTAGCAGCAGAACTTCATATAAACCAGACAGAATAAAATCAAAACTCAAAATTAAAATAGGCATAACTTTAAATTAAATATTAGAAATAGAGGTCGAAATCTGTTTTTTTTTGTTTTGTTTTGTTTTGGGGTTTTTTTTGTTTACACTAAAACGGAATAATGAAATAACAAACTGTTTTCCCATTTTATTGTTTTTCATTCTTAATTGAAATTCAAAAGAACAAATGGTACACGGACCTGTTATGTGTCATAGAAGTGTAATACCCCTTCTTTAAATACTTCCATGGTTTGTCCTATTTTTAATAACTTGTACCTGATTTATATTTGTTCTAGTTCGAGGAAATGCCCTTTAAGTCATACAGTCTAATGGAGTCGTTTGTGACAAAAGTGAGACTAAAGGATATCATCTATTCATTTAAACGAACATTTTGTTGGATGAGAATCAATTGGAAGCAAAAGACACATTTGTCCAGTCGGGCATGTTGCTGTCATTACTGATACTCTGCAGCTGATGTCATCAACATTCCCTGGGGTTGTGAGGCTAACTGAATGCACTCCTCTGTTTGAATTTACTCACGTTATTAGATTTAATCTGAGCCGAGTCTGACCATAAAGAGCTGACTTGGTTGGAATTATAAGAGGTGAGATGATTTGTGCACTAAAAAAGTCTCTCATGCATAAAATTATAATCACAAGCTTGAATTAACCAACAGCTTTTCAGTTAGTCACTCTTACATTTTAGTTTTTTTTGTTTTTTGTTGAAATTCAAACACTTAAACAGGACGAAAACTGCTTCTATTCATCACAAGCTTCTGAAAATCTTCAAACTTTTGCCACTTTAGGATCACCACTGGCTGAACATTCCATCATTAGATATGGATGTGGAACACCCCCATGGTTCAGCATCAGCGAGAGAAGGGACTAAGTGCACAGCAAAAAGTGGACTGTTAAAATTGACTCTCACAGAATCAACTTTAACATTTTCTCAGAGTTTATATGAGTCCAATCTGTTCTAGAGTTAATTTAACATTTTTTTTAAATGTTAATCAAGTAACACTGGACCACAGTTTCTGTTTAACCCCGAAATCCAGAGTTATATGAACGTTTTGAGAGTAAACAGATTAGACTTTGTAGAGTTATTCTGATTTATCTGAACAACACACAGAGGTGTTTTATTTTATTTTTACTTTATTTTAGTTAATTTAAGATGAAATTATGTACAAAACTGGTTCAAACTGGTCTTCTCTCATAAGAGTTTGAAGTGGTGAATAGGAGGAGCCAAATTAACACTAAGAAAAGTTGAATTAAC